TTCATCAACCTCTTCCTTTGTCAAAGGGCCTTCCCTTTTACAAACCTTTGAAAACAAAAAAATACCAAACATTAAACATCATTCATATATATTACATAAAATTCAAACTAATAATATATGTTAAATATTTCAAACATCATTCTAACTTGCTCGATTTAGCATTCAACTAAGTTTTAGGACGACTTTTACCCAAAATCGCCTATTTCACTACTACTTTGCCCGGTTTCTACATTTCTTATCTAATGAGCTATTTATCTATCATAACATGTCAATTACAACTAGTCTTAGGTGTCTAATGTTTGAAATCATATCAAATTAGCAATCTTATAAGTTTTAGGACGGCTTTTTACCAAAAATCGCCTATTTCACTACTACTTTGCCCGTTCTCTAAATTTCTTATCTAATGAGCTATTTATCTATCATAACATGTAAAGTACAACTAGTCTTTGGTGTCCAATGTTTGAAATCATAGCAAATTAGCATTATTCAAAGTTTTAGGACGGCTTTTACCCGAAATCGCCTATTTCACTACTACTTTGCCCGTTTTCTACATTTCTTATCTAATGAGCTATTTATCTATCATAACATGTCAATTACAACTAGTCTTTGGTGTCCAATGTTTGAAATCATAGCAAATTAGCATTATTCTAAGTTTTAGGACGGCTTTTACTCGAAATCGCCTATTTCACTACTAATTTGCCCGTTTTCTACATTTCTTATCTAATGAGCTATTTATCTATCATAACATGTCAATTACAACTATTCTTTGGTGTCCAATATTTGAAATCATATCAAATTAGCATTATTCTAAGTTTTAGGACGGCTTTTACCCGAAATCGCCTATTTAACTACTACTTTGCCCGTTTTCTACTTTTCTTATCTAATGAGCTATTTATCTATCATAACATGTCAATTACAACTAGTCTTTGGTGTCCAATGTTTGAAATCATAGCAAATTAGCATTATTCTAAGTTTTAGGACGGATTTTACCCGAAATCGCCTATTTCACTACTACTTTGCCCGTTTTCTACATTTCTTATCTAATGAGCTATTTATCTATCATAACATGTCAATTACAACTAGTCTTTGGTGTCTAATGTTTGAAATCATAGCAAAAGATCATTTTACTCAATTTTAGGACGACATTTACCCAAAATCGCCTTTTCCACTTCTACTTGCCCTTTTTTATATTTTTTTCCGTTTGGAATTTTTTTTCACAAACATTGTCCATAATACACTAACAATGCAAGTACGCAAAAATTACATAAAGTTGCATGAACGGCTCGGTTTCACGAACGGATGCTGCCTGGGCTGCTGCAGCAGCTGCCTTGGCAGCTGCCTGGTGGCTGTTGCAGCTGCCTGTGCAGCTCCTAGGCTGCTGCTACAACTGCCTGTGCAGCGGCCTGACTGCTGCTGCTGCAGCTGCTAGGTGGCTGCTGCGGCTGCCTGTGCAGCTGCCTAGGCTGCTGCTGCTGGTGCCTGGGCAGCTGCCTAGGCTGCTGCTGCGGCTGCCTGGCAGCTGTTGCAGTTTGGTAGCTGGCTGCTTGCACCTGCCTAGCATAACCCGAGGATGTTGCCTCAGGTGCTCACTTTCCCAATTTCTTCATTTCTTACCTAATGAGCAGTTTCTTTATTATAAAATGTCAATTATAACTAGTTTTAGGTGTCTAATGTTTGAAATCATTGCAAATTAGCATTCTACTAAGTTTTAGGACGGCTTTTACCCGAAATCGCCTATTTCACTACTACGTTGCCCGATTTCTACATTTCTTATCTAATGAGAAATTTCTTTATCATAACATGTCAATTATAACTAGTCTTAGGTGTCTACTGTTTGAAATCATTGCAAATTAGCATTCTACTAAGTTTTAGGACGGCTTTTACCCGAAATCGCCTATTTCACTACTACGTTGCCCGATTTCTACATTTCTTATCTAATGAGCAATTTCTTTATCATAACATGTCAATTATAACTAGTCTTAGGTGTCTAATGTTTGAAATCATTGAAAATTAGCATTCTACTAAGTTTTAGGACGGCTTTTACCCGAAATCGCCTATTTCACTACTACGTTGCCCGATTTCTACATTTCTTATCTAATGAGCAATTTCTTTATCATAACATGTCAATTATAACTATTCTTAAGTGTCTAATGTTTGAAATCATAGCAAATTAGCATTATACTTAGTTTTAGGACGGCTTTTACCCGAAATCGCCTATTTCACTACTACGTTGCCCAATTTCTACATTTCTTATCTAATGAGCAATTTCTTTATCATAACATGTCAATTATAACTAGTCTTAGGTGTCTAATGTTTGAAATCATAGCAAATTAGCATTATACTTAGTTTTAGGACGACTTTTACCCGAAATCGAACCGGAAAAAAGTAAAAACAAGTACCTCCTCAATGTGTTGGGCTTCAGTGCACCTATTGACTATGTCATTCATAAACCTCATCACGTAGAGGGCACAGTCAACGCCGTTGTCTTGTTGCGCACACTAAAATGACACAATATTAAAATAGTCATGCATAGCCAAAACTCAAAGCAATTTTTTAAAAAATTCAATATATCGAGGCTTTATCTTCGCATATTTCCACGTGGGACCCGCAACCGAACGACAATTCAACTTCTTCATAACACTTCAAAAAAATAAAAAACAAACGATTTAGGAACATTGTCACTCAATCACTTAAGTGATGATACAAAACAATATATAGGAAGCGGTATGTACCTATTCAATAGGTTATTCACTAGCAACTTCCTTGGTGGCCATATACGAGTCGAGTCAAAGTAGTAGATTGTGTTATTGAAAACACAAATCACCATAAGGCTCCAATGTAGACTACATGTATATTAAAGAAAATATCATATCAATCAATTGTTATGCGTCAACATCTATACTTAACAAACAAACTAAGAGTGATATATTTACACTTACTCCTCAAAACAAGGGGCTAATAAGAACTTGTATCCCGCACGCATTGATTCTCTAATAGCCCGCTCAAGGTAATCTATCACATCACGAGGGTTATTCAAGCATTTGGTTACGGAGGTCTTCTCGGGGCATAACCACCCAACTGCTGCTTCACCATCGGGTTTACTAGCAAGGAGCTCCTGTAGTGACCTTCAAGAAAGTAATGTGTGCAAGTAATTACTAGTTGCATTGTTTTGGTATGAAAATATCAAAAAAAACAAACGATTTAGAAATAGTCTCTATAATTTACCTCATGAATGTTTGAATGATGGATATGTTAAGCATGGAACCGGTTAGAAATTCCGTCACATCCTCTCTAGAAATGTATGCGATCGCATCCTCATCATAGTGGAACAATGCCTTAGGCAAGTTCACTTGAATATGTGTACCCGTAGGCAACTCACTAACACGGTTGTGAAGAAAAGTACATGCTTTCGAAAGCGACCTAAGGACTTTGGCTTCTACTAGTGGAGTACATGAAGCTCTCGAACTCTTCTTCGACACTTGTCCTTGTTCCTTGGATTTTTGCTTCTCCACCTTCTTTCTTTTAGCGGACTGAATTTCCATAGTAATCTAGTAGCATAAAAAAACATGGTCATTGCACAAAGCACATGTTAATCTAGTTACATACAAGTATTGTTTACTTACCCCTCCTACCAACCTCAACCGATCACGTGGCCATTGCACAAAGCTCCCGGTCGCGTCACGCACAAAGCACATGTTCCTTGGATTTTTGCTTCTCCACCTTCTTTCTTGTCAAAAGGTTGTGCACTACCATACCCCACCAACTGCAACTGTCCACCGGTTGTTTCCCCGCGGTGAAGAAGCTCACAAGGCGTCTCTTCCTACATATTTGGTTAGGAGTTAGGACATAAATTAAGAAATAATAAACGAAAGCCTAACATAAGAAAAGATGATTAGGTAGTGAAGTTCACCTTAACATCTGGGAAAGGTTCAGGCATCGGATTTGCTCTCTTCAGTGACTCTGCATCCGTAGGACTTGGATCCTGCAAAATTAAAATAATTAAACATGCAAACGACCTCATTAGACAAACTTCATATGACGTAATTCGTCCTAGTACTAAAATTACCTCTCTCTGAACTACTTGATCGTCCTCGGGGCCTCCTGGGTGACTACGTGAGTCTACTGGGGTACTCGAGGGAAATGGCAAAGGCGACAAGTTCATGTGCTTCAGAATGGCATTGAATTGACTTTGCATCTGTTCTTGCGCATCCGCGCGTATCTCCGCCTTAATTGATTCCTTTTCCTTCTCATCAATCCGATGTGGCGAATTAACACTTGATCTGCTTTTTGCTGATTTGGTGTATTCTGAACCCATCACCTTCTCCCACCCTTGTTGTTTCCCTCCAAAACCAATTACTCGCCCAGGGTGGTATGGTTTTCCCAAAGCTAAGGTGAAAGGATCATGTGCGATGCTTGGAGTCAGCTTGCCTTCAATCACTTCCGAAGTATGCTCGAGCTTTAACAACACATAAAAATTTATCAGATGTAAGTACAATGTACTTGACAAGGAAATAAAATTAATAAGTAGAAAAATTTGCTTACAAGTGCATCTGCTACTACTTTCTTATCCGGTTGCATGACATACATGCCGGTTTCCTTGTCCAACCCATGCATAGCACACCACCAGTCAATTGCACGAGTAACCAAAGTTGTCACCGAGGAAGAAAGTGGTTTATCAGTTGATGACATTATGGATTTGGGGTATAGACCCGCTTTGACCCACTTTGGTCTTGACTCCGCAAAGGTCTTACAACCCATATGATGATTATACAATTTCTTTCCGACATTGATTCTAGCTTGTTCGGTTTTTTCCTACACATTCAGATATATATGTTAGCATCAGTCATTGTAAGAAACTAAATATGAGTAGCCGACTCTATTGATAAATAAAAACATACAAGTGCGGTCCTAGTGGAAGATTTTTCCACAAACTTCTCCCAATCATCCACCGTTATTTGTGGATATAAATCCCACGGTTTCTTATTAGGTTTCTCTTCTTCTCAATCTGCAGGCACATTTTTCTTTGGTCTTCTCTTTCTTCTCTTATGGATCCATCTCGTCCTCAAGTAACTCTTGAAGTTTTTGAATCTCTCTTGTACAAAAGATTCAAACACTTTTCTCTTGGCCGGCTCATCAGGAATATGGAACATACTCTGTAATTGGCGCAAACATCCACGTTAGGCAAGAGAAAAAAAATGAAAAAAAAAAGGAAAAAAAAAACCCGAGAATCGGGCAAGGCACCTGCCGAGGCAGCTGCAGCAGCCCAGGCTGTTGCCCAGGCACCTGCAGCAGCCCAGGCACCTACAGCAGTCCAGGCAGCTGCAGCACCCAGGCAGAAACCCCGGGCAGCTGCCGGCTGCAGCCCTTGGGTTAGGCCCGGGGGTTGTTTTTGCAAATTTTTTTTTTTTTTGATATATATGAATTTAAAAAAAAAGTTTGATTGCAATAAATACTTACCATAGTATCGTCCCAAAATGTTTGAAGCAACCCGTGAGGTATCTCGGCAAACTCAAGTGTGATTGGTATTTTACGAGTTAGAATGCCAACTTGACTAGAAAATTTGTCGCGCCATTGGCCAGTAGGTTGACCTAACTCATCAAACTCAAGCACCATAGGAACGTCAGGTTTCTTGAAAGCTTTAGTTGCACCCTTACTCTTTCTGTTCACCGGTGGCTTTACCCCTCCTCCACCACCGGTTTTTTTCACTTGCCTTTGCATTTGAGTTTCATAATGTGAATCACCTACAAATTCGGTAACCACATTATCATTAATAGGATGGGCAGTTTCAGCTATACGCTCAAATTCATCAAGCTTATGTTGGAACTGGTCATAAGCTTGGTCTTCCGGTTCCCCCATATCCGTCTCCTTATTAACATCATACAACTCGTCCCCAGAATCATCATCTATATCCTCATCAGAATGAAGGTTCTCATCAGGATCCATGATATGTGCACACCTACAGTAAACAAGCAAAGCATGTTGTTAGTCATCAGTAATGACAATCAATTCTGAGGCACGATGAAAGACAAACACTTACCCAACTTCTTTGGTTTCATAACAAATTCACATATAATCCTCTAAACAATTCATATATTTAGTGAATATTACATGCTTATACGTTGAAAATACAAAAAAATAAAACACTTCCCGAAATAAAAACAAACTTGTTGGAGCATAAGATATTTAGTAAATGAAACATGCATTAATAAAAGTACCTCATTCGTGTATTCCCTCATTGTGGTCAGATCGAATATAAGTAGCATCATCATCTACATCAATTGCTACATCAAGTGTAGGAGCAGTGAAAGGGGGAGAATCATCAAATGCATCATATTCTTCCTCGTCCTCAACCTCTCCAACCCCTAAAATTCTCCTTTTGCCAGATAGGACGATGGACCATCTTGGATCGGACGGGTCAGTTACATAGAACACTTGCTTAGCTTGAGATGCAAGGATGAATGGTTCAAGACTATCCCGAAAGTGGCCAATATCTACAAGAGTGAAGTCATCATTTCTCACGTTGCGCCTATTATTATCGACCCATTTACACTTGAATATACCAACCTTGAAGTCACGGTAATCTAGTTCCCATATTTCCTGAATTCGTCCATAGTATGATAATAGTGCGTCAACTGGTGATGTATCCTTCGCACTGGCAAACTCTCTTGATGAAGCCACAAGAGTGACACCACTATTTTGAGTCGATGAGGATTTCTGATCCCGACTTTCAGTCTAAAATGTGTACCCATTTATATCATATCCCTCAAATGAATGAACATCTTCCTTCGGACCATAAGCTAGCCACTTTATTGTATCAGACACAGTCTCATCCAATTGACGCATCACACGATCATGGAACCACTTCACAAACATCTTATTATGCAACTGCATTAGTGCTCTTTCCCCTTTTAATGGATATTCAACACGCAAACTATCCATGTGCTCTTCTAAATATGGGTGAACCTCCGCAATATGATGAAGCACAAATAAGTGAGCTTGCATGATTTCATCTCGAGAAGCCCAGATCCTTTTTGACCCGATTGTGCCATGACCATCAAGTCTCCCTTCATGTCGGGATGTAGGAAGCCCAATAGGTTCGGCAACGGCAACATACTCTGCCACGAAATTTCCAATCTCCTCGGACACAATTCCTTGTATCATATTGCCTTCCGGATGGGCTGGATTTCTTACTTTATCTTGCAGTGTACCCATGTGTCGTTCAAAAGGGTAGCACCACCTCATAAATACTGGACCGCACAACTTAATCTCACGAACCAAATGCAGAATCAAATGCACCATTATGTCAAAAAGTGAAGGTGGAAAAAACATCTCAAATTTGCACAAAGTTACCACAACAGTCGCCTGGAGAGCATCAAGTGTAAAGGGATCAAGAACTTTGCTGCAGATAGTATTGAAAAACCCACAGAGGCTTGTTATAACTTCTCTCACGTGCTTTGGTAAAATTCCAAGAAGTGCAATCGGTAGGAAAACTTGCATCATCATGTGACAATTATGGGATTTCATACTTGTCAACTTCAATTCTCCATTTAAGGAAACAAACCTTTTCATATTTGACGAGAACCCAGAAGGAAGCTTAATATCATACAAACAAGCACAAAACCTCCGTTTTTCTTCCTTTGATAATGTGTAGCAAGCTGAAGGTAAATACACCTTTTGGTTTTTTTCTTTTCCATCACCGTTCTTCTTTGCGATACCCGTGGCCTTGTCCTTGCGCTTCCCCTTACGGTTTTGACCACCATCTTCGTTTCCCTTTTCCTTAACCTTCGCCATCCCTACCTTAGCTTGAACCCACAACTCCGGACGAACACCCCACTCTTGCAAATCTAACCGCGCATTCTTACCATCCTTCGTTTTTCCAGGAATGTTCATAATTGTCCCCAGAATTGCATCACAAACATTCTTCTCTATATGCATCACATCGAGACAATGGATAACATCATGTTCTTTCCAGTACTCAAGCTTCCAAAAGATTGATTCCTTTTTAAAGAGAGCGTGTGGGTCAATTGGTTTCGTTGTTTTACCAAAAACACATGGAATACCCTTCACTCTCTCATAAACCTCCTTTCCACTCAATGGCCTAGGCGCAACCCCCTCCTCAACTTTCCCATCGAAGGCCTTTTTCTGCTTACGATACGGATGATCGCGCCTAAGAAATCTTCGGGTCCTCACGTACACATCTTTGCCATAGTGGTCAAGGTACACGTTCGGTGTGTCATCAATACAAATGGGACATGCTTTATGCCCTTTGTTCTTGTACCCGGACAGATTGCCATATGCAGGAAAATCATTGATGGTCCACATAAAGGCAGCACGCAAAAGAAACATCTCGTTCTTATGGGCATCATAAACGGTAACACCTTCGTCCCACATCTTTCTCAAATCATCAATAAGGGGCTCAAGGTAAACATCAATGTCGTTTCCAGGTTACCTTGGCCCCGTTATCAAAAGTGAAAGCATTATATATTTCCGTTTCATACACAACCACGGAGGCAAGTTGTAAATCACTAAAAGTACCGGCCATGTGCTGTGTTTAGTACTAAGAGTGCCAAATGGATTCATACCGTCTGTGCACAACCCAAGCCTTAAATTTCTGACTTCACCACCAAATGCCCTAAAATTCATATCGATGTTCTTCCATTGTGGAGAGTCAGCAGGATGCTTCAACAAACCATTTTTCTTTCTTCCCTCAGCATGCCATCTCAGGTTCTTGGCGTCTTTTGGAATTGAAAATAGACGCTTTAACCTTGGAATAATAGGAAGATACCACAACACCTTAGCAGGAGGTCCTTTACTACCAGCATTGCAGCTTGATCGCTTGTAACGCGACTTGCCGCAACGTGGACACTCCTCCAACTCTTCATATTCATTTCAATACATAACACAGTCATTAGGACATGCATGTATCTTTTTATACTCCAAACCAAATGGACACATTGGTTTCTTTGCATAATAATAGGAATTAGGAAGTTCATTCCCATATGGCAACATATCACATAACGAAGTCAACAAAGAAGTGAAACTAGTGTCACTCCAGTTATGCTTAGACTTAATGTTAAATAGTGTAAGCACGGCTGAGAGTTTTGTGTATTTTTTGGACCAGGGATACAAAGGCTTTTTGGCAGCCTCTGATAATGACTCAAATACATCAGGTCGGTCACCAAATTCACCTTCAACATCACACATCATCTCATCCAAGTGATCATCACCACCACCATCCTCGGTGTCATCCCCTTCACCACCATCATCACTCCCATTTTCTTCTTCAACATGAATCTCGGCACTTTCAACATGCGTCTCATTGCCAACAACATTCTCCCTATACGCTCCCTTCTCACCATGCCAAACCCAAACATGATATTGAGGCCTAAACCCATGACATTGTACATGAGCCATGATGGTATCCACACTATTGACCCTTATGACATTATTACAATTGACACAAGGACAATAAAGGTAATTGACACCCGTTCTAAGCTGATACTGTGAAGCACTCTTGCAAAACTCTTGAACCCCATTAAAAAATTCCAATGAATCACGTCTACCATACATCCAACCGCGATCCATTGACGATTTAAATTACCTTTAAACATACCAACACATTTCAAACAATGATAAATGTAACATATATTATGTAATCAAAGTACATAGCATATATATCATCCATAAATCGTAAAAATAAATGCTCCCAAAAGGTCCTTATCACTCCAACCTAACCCATCCTTGAACGTCTAATCTCACTAGTGAATGTATGTCAACTTTTCAATTTTAAGGAAAATCCGGCAGCATTTCCCCCCAGTTCTCCAAGTACACGATGTAGGTAATAACTTACCTACATATGTACCCAGAGAACATGGTGAGAAAATGAGAAGCCCGGATATTCCTTAAAATCGAAAAAAAAGACATACATTCACTACCTAAGTGAGATTAAACGTCCAAGAACAGTCCCAAGTGGGGACTATTCAAGACTTTCTCCTATTGAGAAAGACTCGAACGGGTATCTAGGCAAATGATGATGCAAGCATTCAATTATTATTTGCATTTATTTGACATTCAACAATAAACAAGTTCAATCATTTAAATAGGGCTAATAATTAAATTAGCATACATACAAAATCAAACTAAGTTTACTTATATATATATATATATATCAATCCCTTATATTCATATATACATTGCAATTTATTAACCACATTTAACAAACTAAAATGTTAACTAATATATATTCTATTCATCAATTTCATTTAAAGCTACTCAAATTCAAACAATATATATACATATGAAACTTGGATTAACTACTTAAAACCCTAACTTGAAATTTTGGAATAACAAACAATTAATACTAATTAATACATATGAAACTAAAATTTAGCAAGAACTCACCCTAATTTGAGAGTGAGAAAGACAAAGATTGAAGATTGAAGCTAGAGTGCGTGCTTGGGCTCGGTTCAACAACACCCTCGAACATGCACCACCACCAAGTACACCCACGAACACCACCAGCTAACACCGGCGGCCTCGAGCAACCACCATCAACCTCCGACCAAGCAGCAGCCGCCTCGACCCACCACCAGCAGCAGCCTCGACCCACGACCCACGCACGACCCCCAAACGCCGCAACTTCATTAAAAATAAAAATGGAGTGGTGGTGGCCGGAATCTAAACAAGCTAACTGACAGTGGTGGTGGTGGTGGTGGCCGGAAGACAGGTGAGAATGAGGGAGACAGAGAGGAGGAGTGAAGGCGGAGGAATTGAAAATTTCGGGAAGTTGGAATTGAATGAATGAAACAGGGAGGAGAAGAGGAGGAGTGAAGCCCGCTTTTTTTTAAAAAAAATGGTAAGCGGTTTAGCCTTGAACCGCTTGCCAATTTAACTAATGGTAAGCGGTTTAAGGCCAAACCGCTGGCCATTAGTTAAAAAGGAAGCGGTTCGCGCCAAAACCGCTGGCCATTTCACTTCCCTCTTTTTTTTTTCTTATTAAGCAAATGGGAAGCGGATTTTGTAAACCGCTTGCCTATAACCGCTTCCCATCACATTTTTTCTACTAGTGATTTTAGATTGTATACAAGAAAAATTAAAAAAAAAAAATTGTCCAGCTTTTTCTCTCTCTAGAAATTGAACCAGCTCTTCCCTTTCTCTCTCTTCTTTCCCCAAAAATTTCTGAACGAACACTGGTTTGATCGATCTTAATGCTAAGATATCTTTGAATTTCGACTTGAATCTACAAATGTTGTTAGGTATTTGCTGTTTTAACTATTTTTCCTTTGATATTTGGCTTCAATGTTCAAATTTTTGTATTGAATAAGGTTTTTGTGATTTTGTTGAAACCCTAGAAATCGCAAATTCTTCATCAAATGGATTCAATCTAAGCTATTACTACTTATGAACGAAGGATGTAAGTATCAATTTATTGATTTTGGGCATTTTACTTTGTTTTTATGTGAATTTTGGTAGTATCAATTTAAATTGAAGGATAATAATATTGGTTCTCTAAAGCTAAGCTCTTGAATCTGTTAGTTTATAGGAAATCGATTGTTTATTTTGGGATGTTTACTTATTGGATTTAATGGATCAATAATATGATTATGATGTATTTCTCTCTCTTCTTCAATATCATCATTGTTTATAATCTGCAATAGTATTCTTGATGTTTGATTTTTTGCAAATTTAGAAATCACTTTTAGATGCTCATAACCTATTCGATAAAATGCCAAGCTGAAATTTAACTGCATGTTGCGTGTATGATTATGTAAATCAATATTGTTGTTTTGACTATCTTAGCTTAGATTAGCAAGTGTAACCTTGTTTTTAATCTCAGTTTTAAGCTTCTAACATACTTTTTTTTTCAAATAGAGATGGTGATGAAGCACTTGTCAAAAAGAAAAAAAGTGATGGTGATGATGAAGCTGTAAAAATTGATGATCAGAGGTCTAGAAGTCCAATTGTGGAGTCATCTTTACTAGAAGCTATAAACAATGATCAAATTTAAAGGTTGGTTATCATTCATGGATATTGTCCAATTTTTTATAAATGTTAGATGTGTTCTAAAATTTTACTCATATGTTTTTTTTTTTGAGATTAAATTTTACTCATATGTTCTAAAACTTTACTTGTATGTTCTAAATTTAATTCAATTCTAATTTTAATTCTTATTTTACTCACATTTTATGTTTTCTACTAGAATTTTGTTGAGTATGCAGTATATATACATTCTAGTTCAATTGTTAATTTTTGCTACAACTTTATATATGTCTAAATTTTTTACCCATATGTTCTAAATTTTTATACATATGTTCTAAATTTTTATGCATATGTTCTAAATTTTTATACATATGTTCTAAATTTAAACTCATAAGTTCCAAATTGTATAATGTAAGTAGCAGATTTAATTGAATCATGTAAGTTGTGTAAATCTATTTTTTTTTTTTTTATAATGATGTAAAAAATGGGATAGCGGATACCAAAGTCTAATGATTTTATCTTATTATATTGCAGATCGATCAAATGAAGAAATTGAGGGTGGATTTTTGTGCTAAAATATTATCACACAAGGAAAATGAGCTACATAATGAGATTACTTCAAGATCACGGAAATGGGCGAAAGAAAATAATTTGTAATAAAATTTTAGAAATAGCATGTAGAATTTTATATAGTATAATTATACTAAAACTATTTTTCTAAAAGGTTGTATTCGAATATATAAGCTTGTCTTGTCTTTCTTGTGATCTACTTCATTGTTATGCATGCAAGAATATAAAAATACAATTTATTATATATTAATACTCATATGTTCCAAATTTTTATCCATATGCTATAAATATTAATGTGAAAATATATAATGTTACATAAATTTTTATGTTCTAAATTGCTATTTAGAAATCCCCTTAGAACAAAAATATAGCATGTTATTGTTAAATATTAGTCATATGTTCTAATTTTTTACCCATAAGCCCATAAGTTCTAAATTTTTATAAATTTGTTCTAAATTATTACTCATATGTTCTAAAATTTTAGCCTTATGTTCTAAATTATATGTTTATATATGTTTTAAATTATAACTCATATTTTTTATATTAAAACTCATATATTCCATTTTTTTACTCATATCCTCCCACCTAAATACATCTGAATGAAATTTAAAGTCATGCAACACACCCTCCCACCAATTTAAATCATTATGGTCTAAATTTTTAATTTTGAAATCCCATCGAAAACATACAAAACACATGAATTAAAAAATAGTACTTATGTATTCAAGAACTAAGAATTTAAGTGATAAATTTTAATCATATGGTCTAAATTAAAATTTTGAAATCGCATCGGAAACATACAACACACATGATTACTAATTATAACTCATATGTTCTAAATTTTTAGTCATATGTTCTAAACTTCAATACATACGAAGTATATGTATTAAATTCAAACTATAATCATTTTTATACTACAAAAAAAGTGTTATTCAATACACAGATTCAAAAAAATGTTCTAAAATCATTAAGTATCATCTAACTTTCTTTGGACAATTTTGAATATCATGGTGACTCAATTCCCCACAACATATGCTAGTAGCATTATTTTCAACATTACTTCTTGCATTCCTCTTAGCTTCCAAATTCAGCCTCAATCATTGAAGATTAATCACAAGGTCTTTGATATCTTCATCATCGCCCTCTGCCAAACTAACACAATCATGTTTTGAACAACCACTCAAATGATTCAATATCTTCCTTTGCTATGAAACCAGCCGCAAAAGTGATGCAACTCTTGTGATGATCAACCCTTGTAAATGGAGTAAATGCGATGTTGTATTTGTTTAGAACAAGAAGATCAAATTTCATTACACACGAAATATAGCAGTACCTATTTAGAACACGTGATTAAATATTTAGAACATATGAGTAAAAATTTAGAACACGTCATTAAATATTTATTAGAACATATGATTTAATATTTAGAACACATGATTAACTCAGAACAGAAGACATTATTTAGAGAATAGATTTAAGGCTGAAGTTTACTTAATTATTTAGAGCATAAAGGTTATGAGTTTATAAAACATAATTTGGACCATTAGACTAAAACTTTATAACATTAAAAATAAATTTTACAACATGTGAATAAAATTTAGAACATATGATAAAAAATTTTAGAACACGTGATTAAATATTTAGAACATATGATTTGAACAGAAGACTAATTTTTAAGAGCTTAATTTCAATAATGAAGTTTATTTAATTGTAATCGGAACATAAGAATCACTATTAAGTACATTTGAATGAAGAGTTAGTTGTTAAAGCTTATGAGCATATAAAATATAATTTGGAACATTAGACTAAAAATTTAGAACATTAGAAACAATTTTTAGAACATTTGAATAACAATCTTAGATCATGTAAGTTTTTTAGAAAAAACAATTTAAGATTTATAACATATGAGTATGAAATTAGGACAATATTTATAATAATTAATTATAAGTGTACACACAAATTTGATTTAAAACAAAGAGATTTATTATATATAGAGCATAAATTCAAGACTAAAGTTTAACCTAATTAAGATGTTTGTTCTAAATTTTTACTTATATGTTCTAATTTATGACTCATACGTTCTACATTGTTATTTAGACACCCCCTTAGAAAAATCAGAACATGTTCCAAAATTTTACTCATTTGTTCTAAATTATTTATCAAATGCTCTAAATTATTCATCAAATTTTACTCATCTACATCCTCAGTTATTACTTTCCCTTGCTTTTTTAACATGTTCTAAATTTGTACATACATGTTAGAAAAATTTCAACCATGTTCTACGATTTTTGTTCATCCATAATTTTCAACCTAATATTATGAACCTGCAAAAATTCAGATTACAAATTTCAAATGAAACACTGATAATATACACAAATTCAATCCAAGCAATCAAGATCAATAAATTTAACCTATATATATATATATATATATATATATATATAATTGAAACCATATTTTTTATTGTAAGAATCAAATTTAAATCAAAAATTCGAAAATAAGATGGAAATTCGAAAAAAAAAAAACGCATATAAATCGCAAAAATCGAACAGAAACCAAAAATCGAACATAAATCTAACATAAAACGAACAAACTCGAGCATAAAAATCGCCAAAATCAGGGAAAAAATTGTGAAAAAACTAAGAAAAATTGCATAAAAATCGAAGCAAAAAATCGCTTACAAAATTGGGAAAAATCGCATAAAAATGCTCAAACAAATCACAGCAAAAATCATAAGAATATAATGAGTAAAAAGAATTGAATCATAAGAATTGAATTACTTACCTAAGAACAAGAGGAGAGAGAAAGTCAAGCTTTATGGAGAGAGAGAGAAGCTGGTAATTTGAGCATGGGTTTGGAGGATGAGTTGAATGTGTGGGTATGAAGGGTTTTATTTGAGCGCAAATTTACACTTTTGCCATTACTCTTAGAGTGATCTCAGCTGTTGGATCTTGTTCTATTTAGGGTTGTGATGTATTCTCATATATGATAGATTTCTCATATAAAGACTTATTCTCACCGGATCCCTCCCCTATATATATATATATATATATATAAGATATGACAAATATCATATGAT